CAAAGAGAGGAAGCAACAGCTTCAGTGGCCCAAGACAGGAAAGGCTTGAGTGGGTTCAATCACCAGGGACGTGCAAGCCACTGAATCTTGGATGTAGGAGGCGCGGTGGACAGTGTGAGGCTGATGAGAGGTCAGGAGTTCAGACTGGGCAGGGCCATAGAGGCCTGGCAAAGGAACTCAGACTGGATTCCAGGTGCCATGGGAAGCCAAGGAGGGTTTTAAGCAGGATGGACATGATCTAGGTTAGGTAGTGATAAGTTCACTCAGGCACCTGGGTGCAGGACACCCTATAGAAGCCCGTCGGGAGCTCATTACAGGAAAAAACCCCACTTGGCTACAGTGCCATCAGTGGAGACAAAAGGAAGTGCGTGAATTTAGGAAGCACTTGGAATAAAGTCCTGGACTTGCATATGATCCATCATTTGGTCGGCTACCAGCCCTAGCTCTCCCATCTCTACTCAGTGTGGGTCCTGAGAAGCTCTGCTCTGCATTCTTGGTTGACTCACTTCTTGAGCCAGTCCTGACTTAGCTCCAGCATGCATGGAGCTCCGCTTCCCCCTGGCTGCCTTATGTGTTCCAGCCGCGCCTGGTCAGAACCCCTCTGATGAGAGCTGAGCTTAGCCGGGTGCCCCCTTCCCATTCCTCAGTTGCACTGTCTCCTTTGAATAGCATCAGGCTCCTGCAGCTGGAGCCTAACAGTTTTGGTTTCTTCCCTGGTGACTAATACCCATGGGACCACAATGCAATACCTCCTAACCCTGACATTTTAGTGGCCTCCTGTAGAACTCAGAGTAAAATCTAGATTTCGACCTGGCCCCTGATGGCCATATTCATTCAGGCTCTCCTTGAACCATCCCCTCCTTTGCTCACAACAATACAGGGAACCTGGTCACCTGAATCCATCATGATCTTTCTTTCCTTGTCGCTTTGCTTTTGAGGGTCTCTGTGCTTTGCATGCTCTTCTTCCAGGTTTTTTGGTGTTTTTTTTTGCCTCTTTCATGTCCTATGATACCTAACCTTTCTTCTTGGAAGTCACTCTACAGCATGCAATCTCAACGGAAGTGATCCCACCCCAAAGGGGTATACACAGGTTTTTGGCAGGTGGAAAAAATCTTATTATTTTAATGTATGAAGCATAGATATATACACAGAACATAAGTAGATAGATATATGATAGGTAGGCAAATAGAAAAATATAGGTAGATGGAATACCCATGATAATAAAATTTCATAGGGGGGTTAATTAGAAAAGAAATCTAAAAAGTCTCCCTTGGGATAAAATGAAAAAGAAGTTGAAAACACTGCTCTATGGAAACGTCCCCCCCTCCACTTACTTGCCAACATATACCCTAATCTAACTCCTTCCAAGAACTTATTACAGTTGGTATTTGTCGGTCACTTAAGTATTTGCTGCCCCTTCCCACCCCTCTGAACATAAGCTCCGTGAAACCAAGGGGTTTTGCCCGTCTGCTCGCCACTATATCCCCAGCATCGGCACAGGACTGGGCACTCAGTAGTTATTCAATACGTATTTGGCAATTCATTACCACTGTGACCAGGACTGATTCCAAGTATTAGAACAAGGAACCACTGGGCTGAGGAGATCCCTCTTGCATTTCAACCTCTGCTTAAATGCTACCAGTTTTGTTGGGTCTCTTTTGGGCACTGAGTCTACGTGTAAACCCCCGTCTTTGTCCCATGGTAAAGCTAATCTCTTATCTCTGGTCTTGACTATTCCCAGTTTTCTTTCCTTCCCGACCACTGAGAATCCAGTAATGGTGTAATCCAGCTGAACTCTGTGGCAATGAGATATCGTAGTGAATGCCATATGGATGCCTGACTCATTAAATTAAAACTTGTCAAGAAAAGTACAATGATAGGCTAACAATCTTGGAAATTAAACAGCAGAAGGAACTAATGATTATCTGATCTGATTTAGCAATAAATTGAATCACAGTGAGCATCTGTAAATAGGAAAAAGACAGGAAAGAAGCAAACCAAAATGTTAATGATGTTATCCATTTCTGGAACGTGGACTTACAGTTCATTTTCTTCTTAAGCATTTATGTCTTTTATCATAAGAAAAAAGGGATTTGGTGGTTGGGTTTTTTAAGACCGTTCACAATACTGCAGGATCAGAGAGGCATCCTGGCCCATGGATCCAGGACCAGTCCTATTTGATTGTACAGTGACCCCCACAAAGCTTTTTGGTGGGATTTCTGTGTTTAGGGAAGCCACAGGATGTGGCCAACCTCTTCCATTAGGCAAATAGCACCAGCCTTCTTGCCAGGAGGACACCCACTCTCTGTACCACAGAACTTTGTGTTTGTTAGCTTTTCAGAGGTATCCATGATTCCCAAAAGTACAAAAAAGTGTTTGTACTCTAAGGTACTCGCCCATGCAAAATGCAAACACACACACACACACACACCCCAACAACAATGATAACAACAACAAAACACATGTTCTCATATATTTTAAAATATTCCTCAGTGGCTTCATGGCTCCCTGAAGCCAAGGGTATGAAATCCCGACTTAGGAAGATTTCTTAGTAAAATGCCTCTGGAAACCTAGGCCATATCTCTTCATTTTCTCCTCACAGGTAGCTCCTGACTGGCTTCCCAAATGTCTCAAACATTCCTTGTCCTGGAGGATTTTCTAGACCCTGCCTCCTCCTAGATTATTTCACCTGAACCCAAACAACCAGTCACACTTCAGTATCCTTAAAGGTTACATTAGGGGTTCTTAATTTTTTCATGATCAAGGAACAGCTTTTAAACACTAGAACATTTGGTAGATCAATGAATGAAAACACTCAGTCCAAGGGTAGATCCAACAATTCATCAATAATGACAGTGCCCATTGGGACCGCTGATAAGCATCCGGGCTTAGCACACAAATCATTTCATCTCTGAGCCACTGTCTGCCCTGACCTTGATCTCTTATATACCCACACGGTGACAATATCAATGACGCTGCAACAATATATATGCTCTCTTGTACACAAGATGAATCGTATACATAAAATTAAAACTTGGTGGCTTACCTGGAAAGGGTTTCTGGTACAAATGGTATGGTGAGGCATGAGGTTCAAGAACCACTACGGGGAAGATAGGATCTAAGATGGCATTGGAGTAGGTGGATGTTACTCTCACCTCCTCCCAGGACCAAACTAGAATTACAACTAAAATACAGATAGAACAAGCATCCTGAATAACCAACTGAAGAGAAGTCTCGTCACCAAGGATTTACGGAAGAAGCCGCAGCAAGACTGGTAGGAAGGGCGGAGACGCAGAAAGGGCTGGCTCCTGCTCCCACTGGCAGCAGCTTAGATTCCGGAGGGATATCTCAGCTGTCAGCGTTCCCCTTAAGAAACATGAGGTTTCAACCCCAAGTCTGGCTCACAGCCCAGAGCACCAGAGCCAGGAAGAGGTGCACACATACATCTGGATATGAAAATCAGTGGGGCTTCTGTCCACCAGGGAGAGACAGAGTCTGCTAGAGACAGGCACCCTCTTTAAGGGCCAACACACAAAATCTTGTTCACAGCCACTTACCCTGGGCCCCAGTGGAAGGAGGGCAGAGAGGACGAGAGTACCATGAAAAAGACTAGAGTTTGTGGCTCTGGGGAGAGAGCTGAAGGGACAGCCGCCAGGATCCCTGTGCTGAGTCCCTCTCCCACCCCACAGACACCACCTTTCTTGGGTGGAGCACTCCCCTCCATATGGCATCAGCCTGCAGGAAAGCAATTGCCCCACCCTCTGGTCTCCCTGTCACCCCAGCCTGTGGAACCTGCACCCCACTGAGGAGTCAGCTGCCTGGACTGGGGTGTGGAGGTCTGGGCAGACTCAAGGCATCAGTGACTNACTGGGGTGTGGAGGTCTGGGCAGACTCAAGGCGTCAGTGACTGACATACAGATGGCCAATAGACATATGAAAAGATGCTCAGTGTCACTAATCATCAGAGAGGTGCAAATTAAAACCACAATGAGGTATCACCTCACACTTGTCAGAATGGCTCTCCTCAATAAATCAACAAACAACAAGTATTGGCGAAGATGTGGAGAAAAGGGAACCCTCGTGCGTTGTTGGTGGGAATGCAGATCGGTGCAGTTAACTGTGGAAAACAGTGTGGCGTTACCTCGAAAAATCACCTTAAGACCCAGCAATTCCAGTTCTGGGAATATATCCGAAGAAACCCGAAACACTGATTCAAAACAATATACGCACGCACCCCTGTGTTCATTGCAGCATTATTTACAATAGCCAAGTGCCCGTCAGTCGATGAGTGGATAAAAGAGCTGTGATACATTTACACCATGGAATACTACTCGACCATAAAAAGAAGGAAATCTTACCTTTCACAACAGCAGGGATGGACCTGGACAGTATTATGCTAAGTGAAATAAGTCAGTCAGAGAAAGACAAATATCATATGATTTCATTTATATGTGGAACCTAATGAACAAAATAAGAAACAAAATAGAAACAGACTCATAAATACAGAGAACAGACTGACAGCTGTCAGAGGGGAAGGGGTTTTGGGGGCTGGGTGAAAAAGGTTATGCGATTAAACAAAAAACACACAAACTCATGGACACAGACAACTGTGTGGGGACTACCAGCGAGAAAGAAGGGTGGGTAGAAGAGTGCAAAGGGGGGATTAATGCTGATGGAAGGAGACTTGACATGGGTTGGTGAACACACAATACAGACCATGTATTATGGACTTGTACACCTGAAACCTACACAGTTTTATTTACCAATGTCACCTCAGTAAATTCAATTAAGAATAAATAATTTTTTAAAAAAAGAACCACTAGGGAACTTAAAGTATTTCTTACATCCAAAGCACCACACTACGGCGCAGTGACTTTTAGGACTGTCATTGAAAACAAACAAACCTGGAGAAAAATCATTTAGCAAAAAAATTGTATTTGGCTGCCCAGACCTACCTGGAAAAACAGAGATTATTTGCTGGGGAAGAACACACTTCTTACCTCCTCCAGAGCCCACAGGGAGTCCACAACGGGCCTGATCTTCTTCTGGTTGTACAGCCCTAGGAGTTTGTCCACCACTCCTCGAATGAGGCCTGCGCGGCCCTGCTTGAAGAGCAGGTTTAAAAGGGAAAACCCCGCGATGACTTTGTTCTCTTCATAGAGCTTGATGGGGTTCACCTTCTCCACCTGCCACCACTGGAAAAAGAGGTTTCCGGTTATAGGGACTCAGTGCCCGGCTGTGTTGTCAGCACTGACTGCGGGGAGGGAATGGCCCGCAGCGGCCAGACTCTAGCTGGCCGAGAGGTCGCTGGGTGGCGTGTTTCTGACAGCATCTGTTGGGGGAGCGCGTGGGGAACTACAGACGGCGATGCTTATGAGAAGAGCTCAGGGTCAAGGTGGGAGGGAGGCCTTTACAGAACAGCCCCTGGGCCACACGTAGTTGGAACGTGAAGGCCCGTGGTTAGGATTATCAGCTCTGGAGGTGAATCCTGGCTGTACAACTTGCTCCCTGTTTTCCCCTGTGCTTCACTTTTCTCAGTTACATACTGCGGGAGGATATTGCCTCTGATGTTTCCTGGGAGAATTTAGTGTAAAGCACTTGGCTTAGTGAGTTGGTGGTGGTGGTGAGGGGGTTGGTGAACGGAGTGGGGTGGCACAGAGGTTTACAGAGTGTGCTGGGGACACGGTAGGGGTGATGGCATTGACTGCAGGTGCAGCTTTCCTAGGGGGGATGACAGCGAGGCTGGGGAGCTGACTAGGAATGCATCAGGTAGGGAAGGGTAAGGAGGAAGGAACAGCGCGATGGAGTGAGAAAACCAGAGTGTTGGGGTTAAGACAGTGGTTCTTAACTGGGGGCCGTTTTGCGCCTGAGGGGACATTTGGTAATGTTTAGGGACATTTTTATTGTGATGACTGAATCTATTGGCCTCTAGTGTGTAGACACCAGGGATGCTGCTAAACACCCTACAGTGCAGAGGACAGAGCCTTGCAACAGATAATTATTCAGCCCCAAATGTCAATAGCACTAAACGTGAGAAACCCTGGACTGAAAGTCCTCCATGGTATACACACGAAGGGCAAATATAGCTGCCTCTTTCCTAGTCTCTCATCTCCCAATCTGATGTGAAAACAAGGAAACAGTCCACTAATAAACTGCAGAAATGGTGATCCAACTGCTTTGTTCTGATTTAATTGTGTTTCCTTGGCTGCCGGTTTGAATTTGGAAATTCCAGTTCCAGTTTCTGGAGGGTTCTGAGGGGTGAGATGGTTACTCTCAGTTTAATATTGATGGCGGAGAGGAATGTGATTGATGGGCACTTACGCGCATTTATAACATCTGTGTTATTGCTGTTTATTTACATCCTGCCTCTTTCCAGGATTGAAAAAAGATCTGATTTTTTTAAAGTGAGAAAATCATATTGTTAGGAAAGGAACTCTGAGAAAGACAGGTTTAAATAGGGATAAGCTTCACACAGAAAATTCTTTAGCAAAGCACATTCCCCGAGGGCCTGAGGGCAGCTCCAGGAGAGCCACGTATTTGACCATGAGTTACTTGCCAGAAAAATGCAAAAGAAATCATTAATAATTTGAGTCGTAGTGTATCTGCAATGCCTCAACAAATATCTGTGAAATGAATGCTTGCCGAATCTACAGTTGCTGCACAGTTGTGGTTGAATCCTAGACACAAAAGCCTGGTTTTGAATCCCAATTCTGCCACTGACTAGCTGTGCAACCTTAAGCAAGTCACTTAACGTCTCTGTGCGCAGCCTCCTTGCTGTACCTCATGGGGTCATCTTGAGGAGTAAGTGTGTTCATACAGACAAAGTGCTTAGCTCAGAGTCTGACATCTACTAGGCGCTCTATGAATGTAAGCTAGCTTTATTAGCATCTAATGCTGAAAGCGACAGTTTTGATTTAGTGAACAGGCACTCTGAAACTGGAGTCAGGCTGCTCTCTAAATGCTAACTTCACCTGTTATTAGCATCATCGTTATGGTCTGAAAGCAAATGGCACGCCTCACAAAGAGCGTGCGCAGGCCCTGTGGGAGTTTTAAGGTAGAGCATAATTAAGATAGCCGAGTGAGAAATTCCTGCGTGATTACAAAACATGCTTTAACTTCTAAGCCTTTCTTGAATGTACAGAAGAGAATTCCTTTCTAGAACCTTCCAGAACAAAGGTCTCATTCCTCTTCTTGGCACGCCCTATCTTCAGTTTGCTTCTAACTGACCAGCTGACATTGGGCCAGGCCTCTGAAAGGGAACAGCCTTCATTCTTGCCCTCCAACTAGAAAGTGTTCCGGTAACCGCCACCCTCGGTTTGGGCAGGAGAATCTCAACCTCCATCCTGGCTGTGTTTTCATGCGTGCCGTCATCGAACCTGGGCACCCTGCAATTACTTCATTAAAACTGCATGTTGGGATTGTGCATTTGGGGAAGAAAGGGAAAACACTTCTTACAATAGTATGTAATTTGGGACCGATTTGGTTACCCACAGCAGGCTGTCAGCATCACGTTAATTACAGCCACAGCAACAGAGCAGCTGTGAGTGACACAAAGCCTGTCTTCAGGGGACACGCTGCAGACAGCATCCATCATTTCACCCTTTCTGCTCCCTGTTCATTCTGTAGTTGAGATGATCCTTGACCTGAACTTTAAAGTTCAGATGTAAACAGAAGCCCTTTAATTCTAATTTCACGGGACAGGAAGCACTGATCATTCCCAGAATCAGGGAATGTTGGGGTGAAGCCTCTGGCAACCAGTGTTGGCACTTAAAGGGCACTCAAATACTCTGTAGCCACACTTAGAATGAATTTAAACGGCTTACCAGAGCTTTACCTGACTGCCTATTCAAAAGGCCTCTTGCCTGTCCTGCCGTTTTCTATCTCAGCACCCTGCTTTTAGTTTCTTCAGAGCTTATGACCATTTACAATCATGCTGTTAATATGTTTTACTTATTTCAGTTGTGTTTCTCATTAGAATGGAAGAGTTACAAGGGCCTAAGATGCAACTGTCTCACTCGCTGTGATGCCCGGTGCCTGGCTCAGAGCCACAAATAGCAGGTGCTCAGAAGATACTTGCAGAGTAAGGGAAGCACCACGGAGTCTGAGAGGAGAGAAGACAAAAGCAAGCTCTTATGAGAAGCAGCAATCCCCTTTTGCTGGGGGAAAAGGGGGGATAAAATCAGAGTTCAAGGCCGAATTCTTTAATTCTAGCAAGTGTAGCTCTAGGTGAGACTGTAGGTCAAAGTAGGTTCATTATGGGGTAAATGCCCAGGGATGTGGCTTTTCCATTGTAGACAAAGTAACCACTGTATTCAGAGCATGATTATCTAAGACAATGGTTCAGAAACTTGCCCAGGTCTAAAATTCACCCCAGGAGCTTGCTCAAAAGGATCCCATCTGTGTCTCCAACTCTGTAAGATGAGGATTCAGAGAAATCTCAAGTACCTGCAGAAACCTGGTCAGAAAGTTTATTTGTTCTTCATGGGAACAAGTAAAATGCACCGATGCTAAGTTTCTTTTCAACTAATGATTAAAAACATCAACAACACATAGCAATCTCTGTTGAAATCAAAATAAAGCTTTCTGGAGTTTCACAGACACTCCCCCCCTCTCTGCCTCATTTGGGCAAAAGCAGCCCAAGCCCCAGCTCTGCCCACGTCTACTGAGCAAGGCGGGAACGCAGGCTTCACTGAAGACGATGATGCTACTGGACAAACGAGGTTTAGTTATCAGGTCAACGTCCTTAGATAGAAGAGCTCACCACATGCAAGTCACCGCACCACCACCGTTCATTCATTAGCCATGTGTGGATACTTACTGATTTTGCAAAGCTAAAGAAGCTCTTGGTCTCTCCAGTCACCATGTTGGATGAACCTGAAAATGGAATATTCCCAAATCAAGCGACTGCTAATGAAAATCAACATCCCTCGTTACGCATGAAAGAATGGCAGTTGTTCGGTTCAGAACTGTCAAGAGCTGGAGTCAGCCTGGGGGAAATGAGGATAATGAGGGAGTGGGTGGTGTCAAGTTTACTTAATTTTAACTGCGTCAAAGGGAAGTAACATCTCTCAAGGTGACCATGTCATTACTTTGGAAAGTTGGGCGTGTGGCAAAAGTGTGATTTAAGCCAACGTTCTAATAAAATGATGAGTTGCTGAAATGTCTTGTTGGTTCTGTTCTTTGAGACTGAGAAACGAACCCTGTGAAACTCCTTTATGGTTTGAATTTGGTTCCTTGTCAAGTGAGGGGCTTGGGGCTGTGACCTGGGCAGGGCACTTAAGTGGTGGGAAGAGACTGGGCTGAGCTGGAATGTAGATAGATGGAAAAAAAAAAAAAAGGCAGACAGAGGAGCAGAGGCGAGTGAAACAGATTCAGAATCCACGGAAATAACATGACCAATGCCTTAGCTTTCTGCCCAGAAAGCTAAAAACCACTTGAGATAAATAGTATGAGAAATTGAACTTTGCTAATTGGAATAAGCACTGTGAGTAGGAAGATGGGAGGTGAAGCTGGGAAAGACCTTAAGATGCTCCTACAGAGAGCAAAGACTCCTCTGTGGGTTCCCAGAGGTGGTAAATGAGAAGACCCTTAAAAGCTCAGATCCTATCTTGGGGCCTTTTCAAGGAGTTTCCTTCTTTGTCCCCATGGAACTAAGGGTAAGTTCTTCTCAGAGAACTGTTACTTAATGAAAAAAAACAACCCAAAAAAATGTATATTTTAAACTTAATTATTTGGCCTGTGTAAACTAGTAGCCAGTTAATCACTGCTTCTAATTTTATGTGGTGGCTACCACCAAGCATCGTGGTACTAGGCTTTAACTACTTATTAATCAAGTAATCAATGTAATGAATTAGACACTGCGAAATTTATGAAACTGGGGCAAAAGTAGAATCAGTAAATGAGTAAAAAATGAATCAGTTGCCCATCTGCATTTGACTCACGTGTTAGTCAGTCTGCATTTGACTCACATGTTCGTCATATCCAATATCCCTACATCATGCATCGATGCTCAGAGCTTCTTGTGTCAATAGTAATAATTAAAAAAAAAAAAAAAAAAGTCGACCTCCAAAGACTTTCAAGTACATGGCCCCTGTTGAAAATACCAACGTGCTCCAGCAATGAAAATCTGGTTCCCTCTCTTTCTTTCCTGATGATCTGAGGACAACAAAAAGGTGTTTGAATATTCACACCTCTCGATTATCTCTTTTATAAGCTTCTCAGCTAATAGCAAGAAAATAAGTATTTCGTTGAGTTATACAGAGCTAAGGCTCAATTGTACCTACAGAGCACAGAGGTACCAAAAGTCTCAAATGTTGGGTAACCAGTATCAGTCGGCTTTGCAATGGGACATCTGACTTCAGATATGCTTTTCTGACTTCGCGGAGACTAACGTTTAAATTACTTAGCGTGCCTGTGAAGGGAGAGAAGAGGGAGGGGGCTCTGGGTCTCATTCTGCTCAAGGAAACCTGCCCCCTGATGTCTTCCATAAATCCTTCCAAACCCAAGATGCAGAAGCAGATTTGTGCTCCATCTACCCAGGGCTTCTGTCTTGATTGGGACATACAGGGGTCATTTAGAGGTCTGTTTTTTGTCATTTCACCTCCAGTACTGAAGAACCTCCTTTAAAACCCCCAGCCGCTGCCCTCCATCCTACTGTAGGTCCTTCATTCCTTCATTTCTCACCGGTGCCACTTTCTGTGGGTCAAGTCCCATCTCAGTGACTACACTGGCGTGGCTTGGTCCCTTATAGTAGTCATGGAATAAGAAGTACTCATGGGAGTGACAGGGCAGTAGGCACATATGTCGCTTGTATCATCAGAAACAACTAATGCCAATAGCAATATTTTGGAAAACATTACAAAAGGTAAAGACCCCAACCTCCTTGCCCGAACACAGCAACACATTCCATTTTTTAGAGTGTTTGTCTGCAAGCACAGGTGCAGTGGTCCTCATCAGTGAGCATGTCCCCCGCTACTCACCGTATAAAATGTAGGTTCCCAGCGGTTTGAGAAGGCTGAGGCCTTTTCCAGTGTTGTCCCCACAGAGGCAATCCAAAACAATGTCCACTCCTTCAGCAGAGATTCTAAGTGAGGAGAAGACAAAGGACAATACCTGTCAGGGACCAAACTCTCTCCTTCCCTTCCTGTGTCATACTGTTTACTCCCAGAATCAGGAAGAGGGAGAGCTCTTGGAAGTAGCAATAAATAGGGCAGACGCCCCGGATGTGCATTTATCCTCATGGGTCCAACTATAAGAGTTTCAGACAGCTGGAGGCATCTAAGACTGGCTGGTGGCCGATACAGGGAAGCAGCCCGGGCTAGGAGGAGCATGAACATCGCAGTCCCACAGTCTATATTCTGTCTAGCTGCCTCCCTCAGCTTTTCTGTGCCTTCGCCTTCTCCTTTGTAAAGTGTAGTTAGCATGTTTCTTAGTGCTAAAAATGAAATGAGGTGACCAGTGAAATACTTGGCCCACTGCCAGCCACATAACAGTCACCCCATAGGCCGGCCAGTTGACAATTCCTGTTTGCAGAGGCCGAGTTATGCACCAAGCTCTGTCCAAGGTGCTAGAGACAGAGTGGTGAACAAAACCAAAATGCTCGTTCCCCGTCTTCACGGGGCTTCTGGTCTCAGAGGGATCGGCTTTCTTCCACTTCCACCTCCCTTTTCAGTGAAGCTATAAAAATCATGTTAAATTAATTTGCAAACTTCTGTGTGTCCAATCTTCAGGTTCAATCTAAAACACAGCCTTGTGTTTAAAGACTGTTAAAGGGTTAAATAGAGGGGATCTTCCTACAGCAATGGAAGGTTCCAGGCTAGAGAGAATCCGCCATTCGCCATTCGTATTCTATTAGGCAGCAGTCTGTTAGGAAGGAGATCCCTTCTTCCACTCACTTACTTACACCTTCACTGATTCGCTCACTCGCGCATGCATTTAACAAATATCTACTGGGCTTCCACTGTTCGAAGATATTATGCAGGCGGGAGCTCTGAAGATTGTAGGGAAAATATTTATGCCCACTGAGCACCCAACTGTGGCTGGGCCCTGATCTGCTCAGAAATGAATGGCATTTCCTCAGATATTTGAGTTTGCAGGATTATCTTGTTTTAGTACCTAGTGCAGTTTTTCTGTCCCCACCCTCTTCCCCCAGCAAAATTTAGGTACCGCTGCACATGTCAACAGCTGTGTCCATAGTGTCACTAACTGGGAATTTTATGTGCATTTCCTGGGTTCAGACACTAAATGGACAGCTGAGTCTTGATGTGAAAATTTCCTTCAAAACCCTCAAGTCGAGCCTAAAATCCATCCCATTGCAAAGGCTCATATGAAATGATCAGCTTCGCTTCCACCTAATAGAGCTCTTATCTGCACAGGTGTGTCCTTTCAAGTCCCACCTGTAAGTTTAGAACTAGGGAATTAGGCCAGTGGATCATGAACCTAAGTGTGCATCACAGTCTCCCAGAGGGCTCATTAAAACACAGATTGTAACTTGCCCACCCTCCCCCTCTCCTTCTAGCTTCAGTTGGTCTGGAGTTTGGCCCACAGATTTGCATTTCTGACAAGTACCCAGGAGATGCTGATGGTGCTGATTCAGCCGCCACACTATGAGGACCTCTGGTCTAAACCAGTTACTCAAGAGCCAAGTCAATAATTTTTTAAATTAATAATTAATTTGTTCATTAAATATTTAGCATTGGCACTGCACTAGGCACTGGGGGATATATTGTTGAGGCCAAAGAGATCTGATTTCTCCCCTTTTGGAGTTTACATTAGGTAAACATTAACCAATAATTACACAAATAAAAGTTAAATTGAAACTGAATGGCTCTAGAGTCACAAAGGTATTATGAGACCATTTAAATAGAGGGTTTGCTCAATCAGGGTTGCCAGAGAAGAGGTCCTGGGGTAAGTGATGAGTGGAGAGTGAAGGAAATAGCTAGGTAAATAGTGCTGGGAATAGTGTTCCAGGCAGAGGGATCAGCATGTGCGAAAGCCCTATTGTGGGAGGAGCCTGATGGGCAGGAAATCTGCGAAACAGTGAGTTGTGAGGGCTGGAGCAGAGAAAATGACAGGGAGCTTGCTGTAAGCTGAGGCTGGAGAGACAGGAGGGAGGTTGAAACACATAGACTGTTGGTGGGCTCTAAGCTGGTGCCTCACACCTGGTGATCAGGTCTCCACCTTACATCATGGAATGAGTAACTGTGCTCTTCCTTACTTCCACCAGCTCCATTTTCTGCCAAGTTTGCTCATTCCTGTAGAAGTGGAACCCTGCTCTACCTCCAGCCTTCCTGGGCTATCAAGCTCTCCCTGTGAACTCCATTTTCCCAAGACCTCTCTCTTTGCCTGCAGAATGGCTGTGCTAAGGAGCAGTGTCCCAAATGCTGGGCTGTGCACACCTTTAGGCCACTGCTCCTCCCCACACCTCTCTCAGCATTTCCATAGTTGAATCAGGTAAAACAGAGTTTGCACGTGCACAGGGCCAAATATGCCACACATTCATTACACCCTGCTGTTGTTGCATCCTTTTGAAGGTCATGGTGTGGTGGGGGTGAGATGAATTCTGAGGAAGAGAAGCTGGGTAGAGGCAGATATCATTCCCTGGGCCCCGAGGGTGAAGATGCTTTGGCCTTTTCTGTCGACATGTAAGCAAACATGGCTCCTTTTGAGGTTAGCAATGATCCTCATTGAAAAGAGTGCCATCCCTCGTTCAGTCATTACCAGCCCAATCCATCAACCGAACTGGACCCAGTTGGGTCTATTTAAAATGCTGCTGACCCCACAAGTAGCCTTGGGATGGGTCCTCCCTCAGTCATGCTCACACTGAAAAGCACCCTAGCAGCTCCTTTTAATGGGATAATTGTGAGAAGCACAGAGTGAGGTTGCTTCCCAGAGGCACAGGGTCAGGCTCATTTCTTAGGCCACCAATTCCCGGGGGTGCTTGCCCTGCCTACATATATATAATCACGATTACATAAACTTGGAGCGGGTGAGGGCAGAGAGCCAAATGCCAGGTTGCTATGTCTGCTTTCTCCTGCTGTTGTAAATCTCTCCAGATCTGAAACACAAATAGGCCCAGCTCAGGGATTCTCTGGGCCAGATTCAGCAGCAAGGTATTTTGGAATTGCTGATCCGAGACTTTTGCGTCTGCCCTTCCTTGGTCCCCAAACTCCTCACCCCTTTATTGGGAATGCCACCTCTTTGCTTCCCACCCACATGGTCAGTGAAGAATTTCTCTTGAGTGGTGGCAAGTACCACAGAGCCATTGCTGGAGAGAAACGCTTCTACTTTGCCAAGAAATTAATTCCACTTTATGTAACTTTCATTTCTAGTTGGGTCCTTGGCTCTCCCCTCGGTTCTTCTTTTTCTGAATTCCTTTCTGAGAACTCACCTATGCCATAGCTTTACCCATCACCTCCAAGCTTGTGACAGAGGGATGAGGCTATTGCAGAGTGCCTGGCACAGTACCTAGCACATAGTAGGCCTCTCACAGAGGGCTGAACACAGTGTCCAGTGCCCAGAGGGCTGAGCACAGCACCCAGTGCCCAACAGACTCTTCACATGGTTCCAAGCACAATGCCTGGCACACATCATGCTTCTTCGTAAGTGTTTACTACTAATGGCTCCCACATGTACTTAGACTCTCATTAATTTTCACTAAGTCTCGGTTTCTTTATCTGTAAATGAGGAATTATCACCTTGCAGGACTGTCTGAGGCACACACACGGTGGTCTAGCTGCGATGCTCAGCAGAGTGAGTGGAGACCAGCAAAACCTGGCGCTATTACCCGCCTGGCGCTGGGCTCACTCGCCTTGCCTGGGACTCGCTCTCCACCTCCCTCTCCCTCCTGAAATCGCTCCCATCCTTCAAGCACCCCCTTAGGGGCTGTCCACCCTGGTGCTCTCTCTGGTTTTCCTCTCCTTTGTTTTTATGGCCCCTACAGACAGAGGCACATGATTCAAGGCTTCTAACTCTTGTACTTGGTTTCAAGTGTAGTCATCTCTCTCCTCCCAAACAGAAGAGGAAGTGATGAGGTTAGGTCTGTATATAAATCTTCTTTCCCTGTTCCTTTTACAGTGCCTGGCTTGGGCTGAGAATGTGTTCAGTGGAAGCTTACCAAATGACTGGCTTGTAAACGAGTTCTCATCTCAGAGGATTTTATGTTATTTTTTCTAGTTACTCAGACACACACTAGTGTAACAAATAATATCCGTGATCCAGAAGGAAAGAGAAAAATACTCTGCGTCCCCTCCTGTTGCATGTTAGTGGTTGGATTTCCTCCCCTCCTTCCTTTCATTTTATGTTCTTATGAGTCACGAATATATACAAAGCTGTGATCACAGCGTAGATGGAATTTGGCAGTCTGCTTTTTTCACTCAATATGCTACCATGGGTATTTTTTTTTCATTTTGTCACAGAGCCTCCATAATTATCTTTTCTTAGGGGCTGCATAATACTCGAATGTGTGGGTGGAGCGTAATCTGCTCAACTATTTTCCTTCTGTTGATAGCAGGGGCTGCTTCTGCATGTTCACGATTCCAGACGAGGCTCTAATTCACCCAAGGGACATATGCCGCACACCTGCAATGAATCAGAAGCAGTGCTTGGCTCTGCAGTAGGCAACTGGGGACCTGTTGCTTTTTTTGTCTTCTTTTGGATTATTTCCTGAGGATAGGATTAGTGGGACAAAGGGCATAAACGTATTTGCAGCTTCTCGGTCATTTTTAGTCTGATCATGGGGACTTTACTTAAAAACATAAGGAATTGTAGGAAGTCACACTTGAAAGAAGGTGGTGGTGAGGTGGGTCTCAGATGCTGTTAACATCAGTAGAAATCTGCTGACATCAGTAGAAGTCACTGATTCAGGGGCTAAAGGCAGTGGGTCAAGGACAGAGAGGGACAAGGATGGAGCAGCTACATGGGAAAGGGGGATGACAGGAGCTCCCTGGACATAGACCGTCTGTCACATTTTCAGAAGAGCTGCCCCTCCTGACCCGCTTCTCTCGCTACTTTCCACATCCTCCCCCTGCCAGCTGCACTGGTCGCCTTCCAGATTCTGGCATTTACCAAGCCTTTTCTGATGCTGGGCCCTAGCACATGTCACTCCCCCTGATCAGAAATGCTCTTCCTTTGGCCAAATCCACCAAACCTCACTAATTATTTGATGGACAATGCGTCTGATTTCCCCATCTGCATATGTTTACTAGTACTTTGCATTTCTCCACCAGAGCACATATTGAAATTGTAAATCAGTGAATTAAAATAAAAAATGTTTGTCCCCTCTTCCCCCAGCTACATTCAAACTCCATGCAGATGGTGACTCACAAGGTGGTCTGGCTGTATCTCCCGTTCTGGCCCAGTACCTGGCCCAACACAGATATTTAGTATTTATTAAGCAGGTCGGTACATGAATAAAAAGAAAGGTGCTCACAAAAAGATCCTTAAGAGGATGAAAGGAAAGATTATGGAAGGGACAATGGTAGCCCATTTTCCAGAGCACAGGTTGATAGATGCTAGTTAAAAGAAGGAAGAACCACCTCTGGGTTATGAAAATAGGCAAAGGTAAGTCCTGGAAGTCTTTAAAACATGCCTGCAATCTATAGTCTTCTGAGAACCAGGAGGGGAACTTCTAATATCTAGCTCTAAAACTCTCTTGTCATGCCCTACTGGAAATATTGGGACAATTTAAAATTATATGCAAATCTCTCCGTTGAAAATTTAAAAATAAATAAGAAGATTCAGACTATCAGAAGACTGTCCTTTCTGAGAAACTTTCATTACCTGGTCTCAATCTACCACCTCAGACAACCGATCTCCCATCCCTCTAGTCCTTCGATTTTCCATCTTAATGTGTGATTTGCAGGAAATCGTGATGCTACTATTAGGGAGCTAGTTGGACAACTTAATTCCTTTGTACCTTACAATTTAGTGCTGATCAATGGAAAATTAGGAAACACTGGCTCTGGGACATCCCTGAATCCCCTCAGGAGCTGTGAGTGGAGCAAAACCTGAGAACCAGCCTTGAACTCTGAGCTGCAGGAAGGCTGACATGCACAAATCATCTGAGCACACGGTGGCAGCTGGGTTTTCCACCTGAGTCCCTGTGTTGGCGTGCACATAGCCATGAGCAATAGCTTCAGGATCACAGGTGGAAATGGATCAGGTTAGAAGCCAGTGTCCCCCTGGGTGACTGCAACAGCCAGCGGATTGATCTCCTTGCCTCCAGCACACCCTCCCCCCATTCATTCTCTGCACACCACCAGTGACTGTTCAAAACCCAAATCTGATCATGTCGCCACTTTGGTCCTTTGTTGGCTCTCAGTCACACCCAGATTGGAGTCCATATTCCCTCAGGAGGTTGTGTGAATGAACAAGAAATAAACTTCTCTATGTTAAGGCCGTATTACAACAGCTAGCATAACAGCTTTGCAAGTTATAAATTAGCTTTGCAAGGTACTTAACTGCTCCATTCCTGGGTTTTGTCCTTTGCAAAAGGAGGGTAATGGGGCTGCTGAGAGGGTTCAATGATCTAATACAGGTGAAGTATTTAGCATAGAGCTGGTCATACTAAGCCCCCAATATATATTTATATTAGTAGTATTAGCCCCCTTCTAGATGAATGCAACCATTCTTTCAGAGAGACAAGAGCAAGGGCCAACCTGGTGCTCTTTTGAGCAAACACCATACCTTTTCACTTCTTGCACGTAGTCTGCATTTCGGTCAAAGAGGTGGGTCATGGAGTCTTTGATGGCTTCATGCTTGAAAGTAGAAGCTGTTCCAAAGACAGTCACATTGGGGATCGTGGAACATAGCTGAGCCACAGCTTGGCCCTAGAAGTGAAATACAACAGACAAGTCACACACGGGGAGCTACCATCCAACAACCAGTACTGCTGGGTGTAGAACAGGATTTCTCTACCTTGTCACTACTGGCCAATTTTAGGCTGTATTGGTCTGGTTGTAGGGAGCTAAACTATGAATTATAGGATGGTTTGGCGGCCTCCCTGGTCTCCACCTACTTAGGAGCCAGTTGTGACAACCAAAACTGTCTGCAGACATTTCAAAATGTCCCCTAGGGGACAAAATCTCCCTTGGTTGAGAGGCACCGATGTAGAGGAATGTCGGCATAAGCCAGCAAAATTCCAGCAGCAAGACTTATCAGCTATTATTTAACCTCAGATTCCTCTCTATAAATTAGCAATAATGGTACCTACTCCACAGGGATCTTGGGGGATGGCTTAGTTTGGATCTCTCAGAAGCAGACACTGAGGCAAAGATGCAAGCATTAGTACTTTATCAGGAATACGACTGCAGGAAAGACCAGGGTGTCAAGAGAGAAACAGAAGGCAGCCCACAAAGGATATGTTATCAAGCCCATATCCACCCTGGGCGCCTGGAACTCAAGCCGTCTGAAGAACTCCGTGAGCAAGTGTAGAATACACTTCAGAGTTATCCCAACCAAGTGGCGAGGAAGCTGGAATATTTATCCACCAGATTTCCAGCTGATATTGGTCGAGGGTTGCTTTTGCAGCAGTAACTCTTGTGCATGTCTGGCTTGTCCTCTTGGACAGCCAGACAGAAGCCCTAAGCAAGCAACCTTCAGCACATTGAGTTGTGGTGTGGCCAGACAGTTTTGGTCAAAGACTCCATGACCCACCTCTTTGACCGAAATGCAGACTACGTGCAAGGGTGTCACATGAGGGCATACGTAACACAAGTCAAGCCCCTGGCACAAAACAGGACACAATAAATCTGAATGAGTTCCACCCTTTGGTGGCTTATTATATCCAGGGCTGAGATGTCCAGGTATGTAAGAAAAGGCCAGTACATGAGGCTTAAATATTAAATGATCCAGGAGAAATCACAAATGAAGTCAGAAATGGATGACTTTTCCATGTCCTTTTTCAGCGTGCTTGGAAATTTAAGTCATCGGACAAAGTATGGTGACCATGTGCTTTCAGAAACATTCCCCCAAAACCCAATTTGCTGGTAAATAAGATGCATTCTAAAACCAAGTACTGTCTCTCCCCAGTGTTCCATCTGCTATGTTTAGGAGGCAAAAATTATTATGGAGGGAGCTTATTCTACCGAAGTCACCTGTGATATTTATTTCTGCCTATCACTTTATTTACATGTCTTCTTCATATTGTAGACTAAATTAGGCTGGCAGGTCAATGTGTGGAAATTTAATTCTCCCAACATTTACAATGAAAGGCAACGTTGAGAGAATCAGAATGTCAGGCTTGGAAAATCATCCAATTACCCTTTCCCACCACTGTTTATGGGTGAGGAAAGGGCGCTCAGAAAGGTGAAGGTGACCCGGCTCTTCAGAGGCAGACCTGAGATTTAAAGCAAGGTCTCCTGATTTCCAGTTATTGCCATTTTCCATTATGCCATGTTGTCAAGTTATTCTGACATTTAAGCTAAGCAGATTTTTCAGCTGCGACCTAAAATAGACACAGTACTGACGCTCACTCGGAGGTCAACACTTCAGAACATGGGTATGAACCTGGGACACCAGAGAGGCTGTGTAGTTCTCTGTTCTAAGAATAGCTTTGATATTTGGTTAAGTTTTCTGTCCCGATTTTAGAGAACAAACAGCACTCTCCTCACTCATGAGTGTAAATACCAGCAATCAACGTAGCCACCCTCTCGGGTTCAACAGGGCTTGAGCTAACCCTGTTAGTGCTGGGATGGGAGATCAGAACGAGTTCCAGTGTCCATGTAGTCCCTCCTGCCCTCTCTCCTTAAGCAGACATGACATGGACCCGCTCAACTATTTTTCAAATTCCTATTCTGTGCTAGCCACACTGTGCTATAGATGCTAGAGTGTCAGAAATGACTGACACACTTTAATCTCCATCTCTAGACCCAAGTCCTTCCCTGAGTCCCAGGCTTGTGTATTGAACGATCACTTTGGCACCTATCTCCGCCTGGCTATTCAAAAATAACACATCGTGTAATGGGAAATTCCCCCCATCGTTTTGCAGATTGCTCTGTCCTTTAGTATTGCAGCGTGGGAATAAAGCATGGATTCAATGAACAAACCTAGTCTCTGATCCATGCAGAACTCTGCCATTTCCTTTTTTAATGAGAAAGATACATGTGGTAGTAAAATGAGATGATCTGGAGTAAATGAGTTACTTATATATTTATCTTATTATTTAACATATAACATGAGTATTATATATGTAATATGCAACACATTGATATAAAATATATAGTATAATCAGAATAATGTATCGTGTATATATGGATTATTAGTATATATATGTATACATATATAATTAATACCTAGTACATAATATTCCATTTATAATATATAATTAGTATGGTTATACAGTATCTCCTGTACTTATTCGCAGTTTCCCTTTCTGTGGTTTCAGTCACCTGAAGTCAACCACAGTTCGAAGATATTAAATCGAAAACTCCAGAAATAAACAACTCATAAGTGTTCAATGGTGCACTGTTCTGAGCAGTGTGATGAAATCTCCATCAGTCCTGCCCAGGATGTGAATCATCCTTCTATCCAGCTGCATGCAGGCTGCATCCACTGCCACCTATTAGTCACTTAGTTGCCACCTCAGTTATCAGATCGAGTGTTGTGGTATCACAGTGCTTATGTTCCAGTAACTTTTATTTTATTGTTATAATTGTTGTATTTTATTATTAGGTATTGTTGTAAAGCTCTTATTGTGCCTAATGTATAAATTAAAGTTTATTGCAGGTATGTGTGTGTAGGAAAAAACATATGTAGAGTTTAGTACTAGCTGCAGTTTCAGGCACCGGGGGTATTGGAATGTATCCCCTGTGGGTAAGAGGAAGACTATTGTAATATAAAAATATGATTATTTTTATATATTCATACATAATATATAATATAATTAGTATAACATACAAGCATTATATAGTTTATCATAATTTATATTATTATATAAATAATACCATCTGTAGAAAATACAGATTCAGTGCCCATCTATTTGCAGCAACCCACCCACCTTTTAGCTCTGTATTACTTCAGTTAGGCAATGAGAGGCCCTTGCAAGATCCTCAATGATTTTCTAAAGTAAATAATGCTCAGCATTCTATATTTAAGCAGCAAAGTGCTTCCCCTCACATTTATAGAAAATCTGTACTCTCCCTTCTCCAACTCCCCAGGTGAGTGCAGGATCAGCACCTAATTTATCCTGTTTCTCCCACATGCCTAACAAATAGCACAGACTCAATAAACATTTGTGGAAGACGGAATGAATTTTCAATAAAAAGGATTTGCAATTTACCTACAGACTCGGAACATAAAATGAGCAGGACAAGCCATTCTCCCACCAACAGCAATAATTGGAGATAGGCATGTCCTTGTTTTTAATTGATTTTCCTTTCCCCCTTTAGGAGGTAAGGGCTCTGCGGCAAGCCTCCGCTTCTCCTCCCCGTGGCCCACAATACAGCGCTCACAGCAGCTGCGGTTCCCTTGGTCTCACCATGTGCCAGGTACTGTGCGAAAGTGCTTCATTAAATTCTCAAACCACTTTTAGAGTATTTTTGTTTCCCTTTTATGCCTGGAAATGAGGATTCTGAGAGGGAAAGGAACTTGTCCAAGGTTATTCGGTTTGTAAATGACAGAGCTGAGAGTCAAACTTAGCTGCAAGGCCACCCTGCTATGAATCTTCTTACCCATCCAGCTAAGCCCTCAAGTTGCTGACATGGAACTGAAGTCTTAGAGAGAAACCATAGGTCCTTGGCATCAGTCTGGAAGGCTTCTTTGAGCCACTCCTTGGAAAGCTTGGTCTCAAGTTCACATAAATGAACATATTTCAACCAGATCAGTCCTAATTCCAGGACTATCGAGGTCCCCTCAAGCAGAGCACAGACTGTGGGAAATCTAGGAACAGTCGTTACAAGAGAGCTGTTTTGCATCCCTAAAATCTGACTTGTATCAATACACTGACTGCTCAAAAAAGATCCTGTTCCAGAAAAGCTAGGCACAAGTAGACAAATGACTAGAGGAGCAAATACATCTACGTAAAAGGCTTGAGACACTGCCTGTTACATACTAAGTACTCAATAAATGCCATTTGTTACCTATAACTGCCCTGAATGTAGGACTGAGCCTGGTTGAAATTCTGGTCACTCTCTAAATGGGAATGTAGGACAGATGATCCTGTCAGTGCACTGAGATTCAGGATTCCACATCAGAGATTCAACTAAGCAAGAGGCAAAGAATGGATGGCTTAAAAAGGATTTATAATGGAGGTACTATCTATCTCCCCCACTTGTTCCTCATAATATACCAGAATTCTAGCTTTGACCATATGGAAAAATGGCCAGTCTTTCCCAGGGACCTTTGCACATGCCATTTCCACTGCTTACACCATAGAACCTTTGCACATGAAACTTCCCACTCTCTCACCACAGGACATTTGCACATGCAATTTCCACTGCTTGTAAACCTCTTCCCTGTTTTCTCTCCTGGCTGATTACTAGTCATCCTTTGAATCTCAGCTTCTCTCTTACTTCATTAAGTCATTCATTCTATCGTGATAGGGCTTTTGATGAGTGCCTCTAATAGATTAGACACTGGAAGAGATGCTGAAAATACCAAGGTGAGCAAAGTCATATATGGCCCCTGTTATCTTGTAGCTTGCATTCTAACAGAGGCAACAGATACTAATGAAATAAATATGCTATTAAAAGTACAATTATGCATCTATACCAGTAGGGTGGGAACACCAATTCCAACTACTGAACCCCTAGGCTAAGGCCACACTGGTACACTACTACATTTTTGCAAATATGCAAAAAATGAGTGGCATGCATTAAAGTCACATGGACAT